TGAAGACTAAAACGAAACTGAAATATTTTCTTCTTTTAAACAGAAAGAAGACAGAATAAAAAAGGAGGACTGGGAAGGAAGAGGGAGAGAAAACGACAACGGCTGCTCGCCAACGACAACGCTGGAAACTCAACAACAGACGGGGACGCAGAGCACGAGGACGTGTGAGGACGAGACGGACACCTGGACATGAACACATTGACGCCTGGACATCAGGACACACGGACACCTGGACACACGGACATCAGGACACCTGGACACCTGGACACACGGATACCTGGACACCTGGACACACGGACACATGGACATCAGGACACACGGACTGTTCATCATGTGTCCACTTTGCACATCTGTTCAAACAAACTACTGTCCACCAGAATCTGGTTCACTACTTCCACATGAGGACAATGACAAGACAAAGAATGTCTCTCTACAAACTCACAGGACAAGTTTCTGAATGTCAAAGTCAAAACAGACTCTGGATCAGTTTCATGAAGAGAAAGTTTAACTGACGAGTCCTCGCAGTACAGATGAGGTTAAAGGTGTCTCACATTGAGTGAGTGTCCTTCAGGTCTCTTTTCTGTCTCATTAAAACAATTTAATTTAACAAAGTTTGGACAAATGAATCATGTTTCCTGTCTTTGTCTTCTTCTTCTCGAAGAGACTCCAAAAAACACGTCACTTTACACATGAAGTGATTTTAATAATCGACTCATTAAAGTTCTGTTTTTGAATGTTTGATGTTGTATTTTATCAGAACAGAAACAGAAACCTTACAGTAAAACGTTTAAATCACATCTTATATTTAGTTTTTCATTAATATGTGATGTGATATTATCTGTTAACGCTGCAGTAAACAAAACTGTCCGTTTATATTCATCAATAATTCTATGAGTGAATGGATTTTATTCCATACACGAATGTATGTTTTAATAAATGTAAATGTTGATGCTGCAGTTTTACTTACATTCATTTCATTTATAGATGATATATGATTCTTTCTGTCAGAGTCAATAGAAAGCTAAATGTAGATTTGTAGGATGCATAAACTGTAATAAGTTTATTATAGTAAGTATATTAACTAGAAAATTTCGCAAGAAATTTTGACAGTGTGGCTGCTACTGCCCGATATATAGACGCCGATGTTCCCAGTAGTAAGATGTATGATTGAGGTTCAATTGAGATATCGCTTCTCTCTTTTCTGCATTTTAGATTCATACTCTTGTATTTGTGATGGACAGTCTTGAACTTGGAAGCAGCTTTTGCTTCATAGAAAACACATAGTTGACAGCGCATGACTATGTGTGTCACTGTTTACCACGGTGATTGGGGCAAATTACATACCTCTCGTCTGATTGAAGATGTGGAGCTGTCGCTCCTCTCGTCTGATTAAAGACGTGGAGCTGTCGCTCCTCTCGTCTGTATTTAATTCCGTGCATGTTTGTCACTGGTTGCCATGGAGATTGGAGCACCTGGGTGTTAGAGGCAGACTAATTAAGAAAGGTTAGACTATACAGTGATTTTCAACAAAACTACCCGTCAAACCTCTGCCCCCTATACAAAAACCATGAGTCCAATCAACAACATATGGGTATTGTAAGAAAGATAAGACTCTACCGAACACGCTGATGTGGTTTTTATGTTTGTCGTGTTAATAATGTGAGCTACAGAGCAAAGTAGAAAACTGGTACCGTCTGCTTTCTTTGAGAAATGAGTGGTGAGATTTAACATGGAGTCTAATGGAGCAGTTGGTTGGAGTTCATGTTGCTCTGCGGCTCTTTGAGCCAAATGTGTAAGTCCGTTGGATTCCACAGACACTTTACTGCGACCAGCACAACATTTCCAAGCTTTTGGGCCATAAATGGTGTTTAAAGAGTAACAATTGTGGGAGCTGGGGCAATTTGTTTGGAAAACTCACAGAATATTTTCCTGCTCCGCTCCACTCTGACAGTTATGCTCTCACTCTAGCTCTTAACGAGCCGTGCAATACACACCCATTATAAAATCTGAAACAGACCCAAAATGTTCCTGAAACTTAATCTGTGACTTCATGAAAACTGTGCTAGCTATCAAAATGTCCCTTTGGCTCAATAAAGTGCAGCGTTTTGTCTACGTTTTAAACTTTGAATCATGTTTCCAGCCAGGTAGGCCCAAGTCTTTGTTCTAATAAGCACATGGAGGCCCCAACATACGGCTGTACTTTTACTGCACTAACATGTTAAAGAAGTATTTATACACAGGTGTACTGAACCAGGTCTGAATCTGAAGCTCTTTTCCAGCATGCATTGTGCAGAGAGCAGAGCTGAATGAAGGAGTCACATGACCAGAGGAGGTTGAAAGTCATCTTTTATTGCACCATAAAAGATCACAGACCATGTTGAGACTCACATGGGATACAGAGCTATAGTTACAAATAAGAAACCAAAGATAAAAACCCACCACAGAACCTCAGGAGCAGCTCTTTACATCATCGTCATCATCAGGCTGAACTGGTTCCACAGACACAAACTGGGATGATTCACATCTTCATGTCACTGCTGCTGATCTCTTGAGACGTCTTTAATCTTTTTTTAATCGGAGGATAAAATGTTTATTAATGTCTAACATGACGACATAAGAGGGACCTGATATAAATATTTCATGTTCTGTGGAACCAGATCAGTTCTAAAGGTCTTTTTTCTACGAGGAGAAACCTGGTTTGGATGTTTGGATTCAACAGCGAGAGACTTTAAACAGTCCGTCTCCAGAAGGTCGAGGGTCGTCCTCCGCTTTACGTCATATTGTGAATATTCTAAACGTGTAATTAATCCTGTTATGTTCTGATTTAAAGACACAAAGAACTAAAGTGTGAAACTGATCTCAGTCGTCTTCTAATAAAACGTCACAAAATACACCATGAACATCTGGTCCTGGGTGAGAATCCCACGAGCTGCTTGGGCCCAATGACGGCTCTGGGTTGGATTATTATGGTATGGCACATAGATGAACACAGAGGACTCTCCCTGCTTTCTGTCAGGAGACGTTCAAGAGCAACGATGTCAAGAAGTGAAGAATAAATACATCGTGATGATCAGAGGCGGCTTCACGACATTTAGAGGCATGATGGGACATGAACACACCTCCAGCTGTTAGTCACACACACAGAAACAGGAAGTGATGTCACTACTGAGGACTCCTCTGAGCCTCCAATCAGAAGCCTCGCTGTCAGACCAAGATCTGGATTATTAAAGGAGCGGCGTGTCGTTGGAGATTTGAGAGACTGAACACCGACATGTTTAATAATTATAAACATTATTATAATCTGAATGAAGCTGGTTCTAGTTAACTTGTTGATATTATTCTGTTTCAAACTGGAATATTTGAATGAAACGTCACGTTTACGTTCACTAAATATTCAGCTTTTTGTGATTAGAGACAAGATAATATTCCCACTGATGTGTTTACATCATGAAGATGAATATTCCTCTGATATTAACATGCAGATTAATGTAAAACACGACGATCAACCTTTAAATAACTCCTCATGTTTATGTCTTCATCACAGAACGATGCTGAAACCTGAAGATTATCAACACGATTCACAATATTAATGATCATCTCCGGAGGTTTATTAATCGTGACATCACACCGGCCGACTCAGGTTGAGATTAATCCAATGAGAGCTGATGATGTCATAGGGACACGTGACGTCACACACGTGACGTCACGTGGTGAGGTCATTATTTAGAGGCACTGGTCTGCTTTGTGCTTTGAGACGGATTCGTTAACGAGAGGAGGAATGACACACAGGTCTATAGAAACTATAGGAAATAAGGCCTTTTACTGGAATAATAAAACATCATGAAACAAAGACACAAAGAATATTTGGTGAACGTTTGGCAAAGAAAAAGTGTAATAAATTAGACGGAGCCACGAACTTGTGACAAGGCAACAACCATGTTTAGTTTTTAACAAGAAATGTGAGTCAGGACGAGACGAAGAAACAACTAAAGGTGTGCTCATGCATGCACACACACACACACACACACACACACACACACACACACACACACACACACACACTCTCCCATCACACACACACACGAAGGAAATACGAGACGTTACAGGTCAACACTCACAAAAAGACTTTGTGCAAAAATGATGTTTTCATGTATGAAAACAAAACTAAAGTGAAATCCAACATCGTAAACAGAAACATTTTAACGTAGAACCCCGAAACACACGGAACCCGGTTCTGAACGGATCCGCTTAATGTACAGTACGGTCTGTTTGATTACCCACAATCCCCCTCTGTCAAGTATGTCGTCACCAACGGAGAAACCGAGAAAAAAGAAAAGAAAGAAAGAAACGGCAAAAATATAAAAAGATCGACTCGTTTAGAAACTTATAAAAGTGATCGGAGGAAAAGAAAGGAGGCGAGGAGGCGGAGCCACCGTGCTCCTCCTCTTCCTCTCTGGAGAAGGAGGCACCATGTTCCTCCTTCTTCTCTAGATGAGGAGGCACCGTGTTCCTCCTCTTCTTCTCTAGATGAGGCACCGTGCTTCTCCTCTTCCTCTCTAGATGAGGAGGCACCGTGTTCCTCCTCTTCCTCTCTAGAGGAGGCACCATGTTCCTCCTCTTCCTCTCTGGAGGAGGCACCATGTTCCTCCTTCTCTAGATGAGGAGGCACCGTGCTCCTCCTTCTTCTCTAGATGAGGAGGCACCGTGCTCCTCCTCTTCCTCTCTAGATGAGGAGGCACCGTGCTCCTCCTTCTTCTCTAGATGAGGAGGCACCGTGCTCCTCCTTCTTCTCTAGATGAGGAGGCACCGTGCTCCTCCTCTTCCTCTCTAGATGAGGCACCATGCTCCTCCTCTTCCTCTCTAGATGAGGAGGCACCGTGCTCCTCCTCTTCCTCTCTAGATGATCCCTTTTCATTGGACAAGAGAACGTCTCTGAAGTCTTCCTCTCCTCCTCTTCGTCATGTGACCTCCTGGCGTCTCCCCTCTCCTCTCCTCCTCTCACTCGAGGGACAAAGTGACTCAGATCTTCTCGTGATGAACCAAACGATGAGTCTCATGATTGTTCTCTGCTTCAGACATCTGGATTATGATTCTCGAGAGAAGAACAACTTGAAGTTATAGCAGCAATGGCATAGCATTGATAACAATTAAGTCATGATTAAAATATTAAAATGTGTGGGGGGGGGGGGCCTCAAAGCGTCACCAGATGTCTCCTAATTGAGTCTCATGTAGAAGATAAAAGTGTTTTAATGTCACACAATAAGAGAAGTGAAACCAAACACAACGAGAACTTAAACTTCCTCTGATTCCAAAGAACACGTCAGAGCCTCAGCTCTCCAGAGCCTCTGATTGGTTACTGAAGCTGCTCCTCAGTCAACACGCCTCTCCTCCTGAGGAGGAGGAGTCTCAGTCTGGATGCAGGACGAAGGGGAGAAGAACACAGAAGATGGTTTCTTACACTGTTTTTGTATACAAGGATGGGGGGGGGGGTCTTGGTATATAAACAGAACCAAGTTGAATATAATCATCATCATCATCATCATCATCATCATCGTTATTCTTAGTCAGCGTCATAATAAAAGTCTTTACATGGACATCGACTGACAGACACGGCACAAACTTTACACTGAGGAGGAGCAGGAGGTGGATGTCTCTCCTACTCTACGCCTCCTCTCCACACACCTGTCTCTGCTCCTCCGCTGCCTCTCCTGCCGCCTCCTCCGGTCTTTCCTCTCTCTCCTCAGGAGGGCCGTGGGAGTCCGGTTCCTCTGGAGTGGAGGTGGGGGGGGCGGAAGGAGACGAGGAGGTGGGGGGGGGGGGGGGAGACGAAGAGGTGGGGGGGGCAGAAGGAGACGAGGAGGTGGGGGGGGCGGAGGGAGACGAGGAGGAGGAGGCCGGGTGGAGGCTAACGTTAGCCTTGACTGTACTTTCTCTCTCCTCCTCTCTCTCCCCCTCCTCCCTCCCTCTCTTCCTCCTCCTCTTGGGGCTCCCCGGCTCCAGCGCACCAGGAGGCATAGCGGGCAGCGCCATGATGCCGCCGTGGGGCAAGAACATGTGAGGGTACAGCAGGCCGTGGGACATGCCGGGGATCAGGAAGGGGTTAAAGGTGAGGTGACTACCGGCCCCCAGGTGGGCGGAGCCTAGGTGAGCCCTGCTGGTGGAGGAGATGACCTCCGCTCTCTTGTTGGCATCTCCTTTCTCCTCCTCCTCCCCCCCGGTGGAGCCAGAGGAGGCGTCGGCCGGTGTGGTGGACGAAGGGCTGGCGGCCTCGGACGTCGATGGGGCGGTTGTGGTGGTGACCTTTGAAGCGGAGGATGAAGAGGAGGAGGAGGAGCTGGGGTGAGGAGGAGCGTGGGCCATCATCGCACCGACGCTGAACAAGGCGTGCTGTTGTAGGGCTCCGCCGTGGGGGTGAGGGATGCCGTGAAGCATCATGGGTAACATGCTCAACCCGTTCTTGGCGTCCTCTGCCGAAGCTCCGCCCCCTTGGACAGCAGCAGAGAAGCCGTGAGGGAACCCGGCCGCCATGATGCCGGAGATGGGGATCCCGTGGAGACCGCCGCGCAGGTTTTGCATGGCCACCATGGAGTCCATGCTGCCGATCAGCCCTCCGTTCATGAAGAGTGGGGGGCCGAGGCCGGAGGAGGCGGAGTCAGAGACGGAGAGGAGGGGCTTAGGCATCTCGCTGCGAGGACGACGCCCACGGCGCCGAGAACCCGGGTCTCTGTTCACCGGTTCTGTGAGGATCCGACAGAACTTCCCCTCAGGGAGGAAACCCTGCAGGAGGAGGAGGAGGAGACAGACATCGTCATGGTGAATAAAAGGCTTTATGAATAATTAGCACGTCTATTTCTATAATAAAATAATGACTCAGCGACCGATAGATTAGACGTTCATGTTGATCAGCTGACCCATTTGGTCTCATAGCAACAGGAAGAGGAGCAGCTGAACCTCGTCATCACGGTAACGAGGAGAGAACCATTCATTATGACATCACACGCATGTCATCGTTACGTTTCATCACAAACATGAATCCTCGTATTAAAGGTTTCACGTATAATAAACACATTCAGATATAAAGGATGGAAACATTGTTATGGTGACATGCTTCTTCAGCACGTCGTGAAATGTTTGAAGTGAACAAAGATGATTCTGTGTTTTGGTTTCTTTTGTTGTTGTTGTTGTGGTCTTGACGCTCACCGAGTGTTTGACCACGTCAGCCCAGTCTGGAGCCACGTAGTACTCTGAGTTAGCATCGAGCCACCGGGACAGCTCCTTTATGGCCGGAGCCATCGCTCCACCCAGCTAGAGGAGACAAGAAGTACAGATAATAAGACCGTAGTATCATAATAACTAATCACTATAGTAATAACTTAGTATGATAACTAATCACTATAGTAATAACTTAGTATGATAACTAATCACTATAGTAATAACTTAGTATAATAACTAATCACCGTGGTGGAGGAGTTTGAGTGGCTCAGTGATCCTGGGAGCTATGTTGTCCGGGGCATTAGCCCCTGGTAGGGTCTCCCAAGGCAAACAGGTCTCGGGGGAGAGCCCAGACTAAGAGCGGTTCAAACGACCCTAATGATAAGCAGCCCACGTACTTTAGCCACCTCGCCCGGATCAGGGAAACCGGGGCACCCTCCCGGAGCCAGACCCAGGAGGGGAGCTCGTCGGCGAGCGTCTGGTGGCCGGGCCTTCGCCCATGGGGCCCGGTCGGGCTCAGCCCGAATAAACAGCATGGAGCAGCCACCCTGTGGACCCACCACCCGCAGGGACAAGCATCGGGGTCGGGTGCAATGCAGACTGGGCGGCGGGTCAGGCGGGAGGCCTGGGCGAGCCGATCGCCGGCAGCATAGACTAGCTCTAGGGACGTGGAACGTCACCTCGCTAGCGGGGAAAGAGCCAGAGCTGGTGCAGGAGGTGGAGCGATACCAGCTAGATATAGTTGGACTCACCTCCACACACAGCGCTGGCTCTGGAACCAAGCTCCTGGAGAGAGGTTGGACTTTGTCCTTTTCCGGAGTTGCCCAGGGTGAGAGGCGCCAGGCGGGAGTGGGGATACTCACGAGCCCCCGGCTGAGCGCCGCTGTGTTGGAGTTCTCCCCGGAGAGCGAGAGGGTCGCCTCCATGCGCCTACGGGTTGCGGGGAGCAAGGCTCTGACTGTGGTTTGTGCTTACGCACCAAACAGCAGTTCAGAGTATCCGGCCTTCTTGGAGTCGGTGGGAGGGGTCCTGGAAAGGGCGCCACCTACCGATTCCATAATTCTCCTGGGGGACTTCAATGCTCACGTGGGCAATGATGGAGAAACCTGGCGGGGGGTGATTGGGAGGAACGGCTTGCCCGATCTGAACCCGAATGGTGTCTCGTTATTGGACTTCTGTGCTTGCCATGGTTTGGCCATAACGAACACTATGTTCGAACATAACGTGGCTCATAAGTGTACCTGGTACCAGAACACCTTAGGCCGGAGATCAATGATCGACTTTGTAATCGTATCATTTGATTTGCGGCCGTATGTCTTGGACACTCGGGTGAAGAGAGGAGCAGAGCTGTCAACTGATCACCACCTGGTGGTGAGTTGGATCAGATGGCAGGGGAACCAGTTGGAAAGATCCGGCAAGCCCAAACGTGTAGTGAGGGTGAACTGGGAACGTCTGCCGGAGGACCCTGTCCGGGAGGTCTTTAACTCCCACCTCCGGAAGAACTTCTCTCACATCCCGAGGGAGGTTGGGGACATGGAATCCGAATGGACCATGTTCAAAGCCTCTATTGTGGACGCGGCCGCTACGAGCTGTGGTCGGAAGGTCATCAGTGCCTGTCGTGGCAGCAACCCGAGAACCCGGTGGTGGACACCGGAGGTGAGGGAAGCCGTCAAGCTGAAGAAGACGACCTTCAAGGCCTGGTTGGCCCAGGGGTCTCTCGAAGCAGCTGACAGGTACCGGCAGGCCAGAAGGGCTGCAGCTGCGGTGGTCGCGAATGCTAAAACTCGGGCATGGGAGGAGTTCGGGGAGGCCATGGAGAAGGACTTTCGGTTGGCCTCAAGGAGGTTCTGGCAAACCATCCGACGGCTCAGGAAGGGAAAGCAGGGCTTATCCCAGGCTGTTCTCAGCAGGGGGGGGGAACTGCTGACCCAGACAGGGGACATCGTCGGGCGGTGGAAAGAGCACTTTGAGGAACTCCTAAACCCGACCAACATGTCCTCTGCAGAAGAGGCAGCGCCTGAAGATCTAGGGGGAGGCTCACCCATATCCCTGGCAGAGGCCGCCGAGGTAGTCAAAAAGCTCCTTGGTAGCAAGGCGCCGGGGGTGGATGAGATCCGCCCTGAGATGCTGAAAGCGCTGGACATAGTTGGGCTGTCCTGGCTGACACGCCTCTTCAATGTCGCATGGGGGTCGGAAGATCAGTGCCCATGGAATGGCAGACCGGGGTGGTGGTTCCCATTTTCAAAAAGGGGGACCGGAGAGTGTGCTCGAATTACCGGGGTATCACACTACTCAGCCTCCCGGGGAAGGCTTATGCCAGGGTGCTGGAAAGGAGACTCCGACCGTTTGTCGAACCTCAGATTCAAGAGGAGCAGTGCGGATTCTGTCCCGGCCGTGGAACAGTGGACCAGCTCTTTACCCTTGCAAGACTACTGGAGGGGTTCTGGGAGTTTGCCCAACCAGTCTACATGTGCTTTGTGGACTTGGAGAAGGCTTTCGACCGGGTCCCTCGGGGGTTCTTGTGGGGGGTGCTGCGGGAGTATGGGGTGCCGGACCCATTACAACGGGCAATCCGGTCTCTGTACGACTGCAGTAGGAGCTGTGTCTGCATTCTCGGCAAATAAGTCAGACACGTTCCCGGTGGGTGTTGGCCTCCGCCAGGGCTGCCCTTTGTCTCCGGTCCTGTTCGTGACTTTCATGGACAGGATATCTAGGCGCAGCCTGGGGGTGGAGAACGTCAGGTTCGAGGGTCTCGGGATCACCTCTCTGCTGTTTGCAGATGATGTGGTCCGGTTAGCCTCCTCGGATCGTGACCTCCAGCATTCACTGGGGCGGTTTGCAGCCGAGTGTGAAGCGGCGGGGATGAGAGTTAGCACATCCAAATCTGAGGCCATGGTGCTCTGCCGGAAACCGGTGGATTGCTCCATCCAGGTGGGGACGGAGTGCCTACCTCAAGCGAAGGAGTTCAAGTATCTTGGGGTCTTGTTCGCGAGTGAGGGTAAGATGGAGCGGGAGATCGACAGACGGATCGGTGCGGCTGCAGCAGTAAAGCAGACGCTGCACCGGACCGTCTTGGTGAAGAGGGAGCTGAGCCGGAAGGCAAAGCTCTCAATTTAACCACTCGGTCTACGTTCCTACCCTCACCTATGGTCACGAACTCTGGGTCGTGACCGAAAGGACAAGGTCGCGGTTACAAGCGGCCGAAATGAGTTTCCTCCGTAGGGTGGCTGGGCTCAGCCTTAGAGATAGGGTAAGGAGCTCGGTCATCAGGAGGGAGCTTGGAGTCGAGCCGCTACTCCTTCGCGTCGAAAGGAGTCAGCTGAGGTGGTTCGGGCATCTAATTAGGATGCCTCCTGGACGCCTCCCACTGGAGGTTTTCCAGGCACGTCCAATTGGGAAGAGATCCTGGGGAAGACCCAGAACACACTGGAGGGATTACATCTCCCAGCTGGCCTGGGAACGCCTCGGGATACCCCAGAATGAGCTGGAACATGTTGCCGGTGAGAGGGAAGTCTGGGCCAGCCTGCTTGGCCTGTTGCCACCGCGACCCGACCCCGGATAAGCAGAGGAAAATGGATGGATGGAATAACTAATCACTATAATAATAACTTAGTATAATAACTATTCACTATAATAATAACTTAGTATAATAAATAATCACTATAGTAATAACTTATTATAATAACTAATCACTATAATAACAACTTAGTATAATAACTAATCACTATAATAACTTGTATAATAGCTAATCACTATAGTAATAACTTAGTATAATAACTAATCACTATAGTAATAACGTAGTATGATAACTAATCACTATAGTAATAACTTAGTATGATAACTAATCACTATAGTAATAACTTAGTATGATAACTAATCACTATAGTAATAACGTAGTATGATAACTAATCACTATAGTAATAACTTAGTATGATAACTAATCATTATAATAATAACTTAGTATATTAATAACAGTAGTGAGTGTTCTACCCTGCGTCCGGTTCCTCGGTGGACCACAGGGACTCTCTCCTCCCCCGTCAGAGAGTTGATGTCCAGCTTTGTGGGGTCTTTGCAGCGATGCCTCCTCTGTTTAGGACGCTCCACAAAGCCATGAAGAAGACCTGCTCCAGACTGAGCGGTGAAGACAAGAGGGAGGGCGAGAGAGAGACATAGAGACAGAGAGAGAGAGAAAATCTGTTACAACAATGAGCTCCAATGACCAGAGAGGAACAGGTGGATTATCTAGTTCAACCCTCTGAACATCGAGCAGGTTCAGAGTCACTGTTTTCTCTCTGTGGTCTTGATCTTCTCTGTAATATAAAGTCCTGCTCCTCTATGAAACAGAACCATCATGAATAGAAGTAGAGAGGACTAGAACATGTCTTTAGTGCAGAATAAAACAGTTATTATGACATCAATCATTTGTTACGATTGTTTAAAGGAAATGTGCTTTTCCATTGGTGGGTTTTGATGTTCAGATGGTGAACAACATACAACATCAACAACATAAGTCCATTAAAATGAACCGATATAACAGATTTCTGATAAAAGTGACTCTGAACCCAGAAGAAGAAACACACACTCACATGAGAGAAGCTGGGGAGGTCCATGCTGTAGCCCGGGTTCTGTCTCAGCCACTCCATCAGACCTTTGCTGGCCGCCTCTCGGTCGATGGCCACGATCTCCGGCTGAGGAGGAGTCTGGGTGGGGGTGGGCGTGGAGGAGGAGGACGGAGTGGGGGGGCCAGCGGGTCTTTCTGAAGGAGTGGTGGGGCCGGCGGGTCTCTCTGAAGGAGAGGGGGACGGCGAGGAGGTGGAGGAGGAGACGGAGGAGTGGCTGATCAGCTCCACTCGGCCCTGCAGCTGGAAAAGACACAGGTGGAGGTGTGAAAAGATTTTACTCTCGGGTCTGTTTTTATATTGAACTTCTACCCAAAGCAACATGAACATCAGAAGAACCCTTCACTCCTCCCTCCTCCCTCCCCCTCCACCCACCTGAGTCTCCGGGAGGTGCAGTCCTCTGCTCTTGGTGAACTCAGAGTACAGTGCCTCAACGTTTCTCCTCCTGCCTCTCCTCCTCCTCAGGGAGTCATCTCCCCTCAGGCTTCCGTTAACTATCTGCCCCGTTACAGGATGGATGAGCCCGGCCTGCAGGATCCCGGCCATGTCCATCCCCACGGAGCCCGGCAGTGGTGCGGTGATGGGGGGCGGCGGTGGCAGCTGGTGACCGGGTCCCGGAGCCACCGCGGCATCTCCTGACCCCACGCTTTTGCTTATTTCACCAGACGACTTGGTGAGATCGATGGCTGTCTCCTGCCAGCCGTTAATCAACATGGCGCCGCTGTGATGATGAGAGGGCGGGGCCACCACCGGGGGAGGCACACTGCCGGAGCTCGTGGAGAAGGCCGTGTGGCACGACGGTGCCGATTTCCCAGATAAAACCTTGGCGGTGGCGGCCTCATAGTCGAATGACCTCCGAACCCCCGCTCGTTTGAGCTCGGGGAGGTAAGGAGGAGCCACGAGTCTCTCCTGTAAGAGAGGCAAGGAGGTGAGGCGCCAAGCTCCGCGCCCACATGCGCCGCCTCGCGACATGTACTATCAGAGTGGACAGGGTGGGTGAGAGGTAAGACAAGAACGGGAGAGAGATGATGGCTTTGTTAAACATACATATGGACTGAGACACAACACAACGGCCTGGGTACAACCTGCACACATATCTATCTAAAGTCTGCTCTCTGGAAGCTGCTGTCTGCTGGTCCGGTCACCTCTGAGAGCCCTGATGGACTGGTCCCTGCTCTGAGAGCTCTGACGGACTGGTACCTGCTCTGAGAGCTGTGACAGATTGGTCCCTGCTTTGAGAGCTCTGATGGCTTGGTCCCTGCTCTGAGAGCTCTGATGGACTGGTCCCTGCTCTGAGAGCTCTGACGGACTGGTACCTGCTCTGAGATCTGTGACAGATTGGTTCCTGCTTTGAGAGCTCTGATGGCCTGGTCCCTGCTCTGAGAGCTCTGATGGACTGGTCCCTGCTCTGAGAGCTCTGATGGACTGGTACCTGCTCTGAGAGCTCTGACGGCCTAGGTCCCTGCTCTGAGACGGCCTGGTCCCTGCTCTGAGAGCTCTGACGGCCTGGTCCCTGCTTTGAGAGCTCTGATGGACTGGTCCCTGCTCTGAGAGCTCTGACGGCCTGGTCCCTGCTCTGAGAGCTCTGAGAGCTCTGACGGCCTGGTCCCTGCTCTGAGAGCTCTGACGGCCTGGTCCCTGCTCTGAGAGCTCTGACGGACTGGTCCCTGCTCTGAGAGCTCTGACGGACTGGTCCCTGCTCTGAGAGCTCTGACGGACTGGTCCCTGCTCTGTGCTGCGTACACAAACCCTCTATCTATCTGATACCACCATGTATAATATTCACAGAACAGAGACGGAGAACTTTACAGAGGAGAAACAAAGCAATGTGAACTAGAGGTGTCCAGAGCTGCCTGAAGAACCTGCTCTACAGATACATTATATATAACATATATTTATATCATATACTTGAATTATTTTGTGAACCTGTTCAGGCAAAGGTTACTACGAGGATGTGACATAAATTATGTATTTAATTTCTATTTAAAACTTATTCTAATTGACTGAAGAAGCACAAACAGGACAAGTTGAAGTGATGATGCACTGAGTCCTTGTCAGTCAGTCTATTACAATAATAATCATTATTTGTATACATTTCATACAGACTATTCAGCTCAAAATGCTGTACATTTAAAAATGAATCAAAACAGAAAACCTTACTTTTACAAATAAAATAAATATAAGTTGTAAAAAGAAAGCATGCATTTTAAGTGTCATTTAAAGAATTTCAACAAATTACTTAGAGTCGCTTCACGCAGCGAGATCTAACTCTCTCTCCTCTGTCCTCATTCTCCTGGACCTGTCTGTGGCGTTTGACACTGTTAACCACCAGATCCTCCTATCCACCCTCGAGGGGATGGGCGTTTCAGGCTCTGCACTCTCCCTGTTTGCATCCTACCAGACAGGTCGATCCTACCAGACAGGTCGATCCTACCAGGTGACATGGAGGGGGGCTGTGTCGGAACCATGCATGCTGACTACGGGGGTTCCACAAGGCTCAGTCCTGGGCCCCCTTCTCTTCTTGCTCTACACAACATCTCTGGGTTCTGTTATTCGCTCGCATGACTTCTCTTACCATTGTTATGCCGATGACACCCAGCTGGTCTTGTCATTTCCCCCCGGTGACACTCAAGTGGACGTACGCATCGCTGCGTGCTTGGCTGACATCTCGAAGTGGATGACGACACACCACCTGAAGCTCAACCTGGACAAATCCGAGCTACTGTTCCTCCCGGGGAAGGGTTGCCCGCACCGAGACCTGTCCATCACCATTGATGATACCGTGGTGACGCCAACTCGGACTGTGAGGAACCTGGGTGTGACCCTGGACGACCAACTGTCGTTCTCAGCAAACATTGCATCGGTTACACGCTCCTGCAGATTCCTGCTCTACAACATCAGGAGGATTCTCCCCTTCCTCACTGATGAGACGGCGCAGGTGCTTGCAGCTCTTGTCATCTCCCGCCTGCACTACTGCAACTCATTACTTGCCGGAGCCCCGGCGTCGACCATCAGACCTCTGGAGCTTGTCCAGAAAGCTGCAGCTCGCCTGGTGTTCAATCGCCCCAAGTTCTCCCACACAACTTCCCTTCTCCGTTCTCTACACTGGCTACCTGTAACAGCTCGCATCCAGTTTAAGACTCTGTTGCTAGCCTACAGGGCAGTGAAAGGAACAGCTCCTTCCTATCTCCAGGCCATGGTCAAGCCCTACACCCCCGCCCGACCTCTTCGCTCTGCCCGTCACTCAGAGGTCCCTGCGGCCGATCGACCCGGTCGCGGCTGTTTCCTGTCCTGGCCCCACAGTGGTGGAATGAACTCCCCACTGACGTCAGGACAGCAGAGTCGCTGCCCATCTTTCATCAGGCTGAAGACTCACCTCTTCAAGAAGTACTACCCTGAGCCTTCCACTCACCACTTACTGTATTCATATTAGTTTGTTTCTGTACTTCTGCTCTGGTTTATGCTCTTAGATGCTTGTTTAAAGGAGATGCACTTATGACTGCTGGTGACTAATAGTTGTCTTGAATATGTTGAATACACTTATTGTAAGTCGCTTTGGATAAAAGCGTCTGCTACATGACTGTAATGTAATGTATGAGCACTATGAGCATTGTTAGCACTATTATTAGTATAATTAGCATTATCATCACTACTAGCACTACTAGCAGTGCTAACTGGACACCACTGGTATGACTCATGGCGTGAGACAGTGGAGATACATGTGGACAGATGAAGATGCATAGATATGTAGAATAAAGGGGGTTAATACATCGGGTCAGTCACAGGGATGTTCTCACCTTAGGGAGTCTAGTGAGAGGGGGGGGGATGGAGAACCCCAGACCCGCGTTGGTCTGCTGGATCCGGGGCTGACTGGGGACGGAACCGGAGGCCGCGGTGGGGAGGAAGCTGGCTCGGTGCTGCTGGTGGTGCTGGTGCTGGAGGTGCTGGTGCTGGAGGTGCTGGGCTAAGCTGTTGGCCAGGCAGGAGTTGGCGACCACAGAGCCGGGAGAGTCGTACTGTTCACTGGATGAAGGCCACTTCCCCTTCAGGATGGCGTGGCAGATGCTGTCCAGACGGTTGATGATGACCCGGTCCTACAGGGAGACACCACAGCAGATAATAACGTGAAGGGGTTTCTATGAGACAGCTTAAATTAATGAAGAGGAATGAACCTGGATGGACTCCAAATAACCAGCAGCTCATTTACATCCTCTCTTTATAATGCAGGAGGATATTGTGGTCAGAAAATACAACATCTTTTTTGTGCATTTTGACAAAATATCAACCTTAAAACGTGAGTATTAATGGCCATACATCATTAAAAACTAGAAAAACCCTTTAAGTATATCCTATGCTACGAACACTTAACACAGGGCTTTGTGCATAAATGTATGTTACAATTCTAATGCTACTGTGATGTCCATATCAAATAAAATAAACATAACATACTTCAGGAAACAGAGACTGGCCTTCAGCTCTTTGTAGTACGTCTTGTTGTAAAGAGGATTTACAGATAACCCGACATAGCTTATATCCTTCACAGTACCTTGGGCCACTCAGAGAAGGAGTACAGAGCTTTCTCCTGGAGCAGCTGGGCGATGGTCGGCTCTCTGGACTCATGGAGGCTGTCAGGAACATCACACATGGAGACAGGAGGAAACCTGGGGCTGGAGTAACCTTCTACCACTAACACTGAGGAGGAGGAGGAGGAGGAGGAGGAGGAGGAGGTACGTTCTGATCAGGTACGTTCTAAAGAGGCACTGCTCTAGTTGACTACAGAATAGATATGATGATTCATCAATACATACATTAACAATGAGACAATCATTAGCTGGAGCTCTCATATGAATCAACCTCCACATACGGTTCTCACCTGGCGTACCTGGCCGCTCCTCCTTCAATTGGCCTTTCTCCACCAGACTCTCCGAGGAGTCGACCAGCCCGTCGGCCTGCTCCAGCTTCGGGGTCAGGACTGTACTGTCGGCCTCCAGTGGCTCTTGCTTCGTCTCAGCTTTGATCTCAGGGAAAGCTGAGAAGTCCAGGTCCTCTGGCTTGGCCTCAGGCTTGATCTCAGAGCTGTCTGGGTAGGTGGAGAACTCCAAACCCTCCGGCTTGATTTCAGGCTTGATGGCAGTGTGAGGAAAGGCCGTTAAATCCTCTGGCTCTGACTCGGTCTTAAGCTTAGCCCCGTCTGGATAAGGAGAAAACCTGAGAGTTACCGGTTTTGCTTCGGGTTTGATTTCGGCGCCATCTGAGTAGGCTGCAAACTGGAGGACTTCAGGGTTACGGTCTGAGCGCTCAGCCTTCATGGGGGGGCTTAGATCTTCAGGTTTGGTCTCCAGGGTTTCTGGTTTGACAGGGTAGTGTAAATGCTCTGCTTTGGTCACCAGTGTTTCTGACTTGACCCGGTAGGAGAAGAACTTTCCATGTTTGAATTCAGAGCTGTGAGGGTAGACGTCCACACCCGTCTCCGTCTTGGTCTCCTCCACCTTGACTGGCAGCTCCAGTTGCTGTGGTTTCTTCTCAGCGCCTCCGTCTGGTAACAGAGAGAACTTCAGATTAGATGGCTTTGAGTCAACTCTGTCTGCAGGAAGAGTGGCGGCCATTTTGAGTTCATCTTGCTCAAGCAGATCGTCTTTGTGTTCCTGATCGAGGGAGAACGTCAGGACTCTGTTCTTACAGTTCAGATCTTCAGCCGTACCATCATAGGCTTCCTGATCCATGGACTCTTCGCTTTTGAGTCCAGCTCCGTTCTTTGCCTTTGATGCTACTGTCATGATGTCTAGATGTTTCTCTGGTTCTTCCTCACAGGGTTGAACCACTGGAACGTCCATAAGAGGAACTGGATCCACCTGCCCTTCAGAGATCTCGTCCACTTGATCTGCCAGATCTGTGCTGTCCTCTGGACCTTCCTCTCCAGCTGTGTTCCCCAGCAATGTTTCTGTGTCCAGAGAGTTTCCCATGGTCACTTCCTCTCCTGTCTGATACAGAATCAACCCATCCACCTCCTCTCCGGGCTCTTCAATGGACTCGGGATACGCGAGGCCGCCCTGCTGTTCCAGCTTCCCGAGGTACGAGTGAGCGTCTCGCGGTGACTCCTCTTTGTGCTCTGATTGGTCGAAGCCCCTCTGAAGGTCTTCCTTATCCTGGTCTCCAAGTCCAGGTTCTGGCACTATTCCGTCCATCTGGGGTACTTCCATGGTTGGATTCAGGACCCCCAAACATTGGTCTGAAGCTGTGAGGATAAACCATGAGATGGATTTAACCATGTGGAAGCAACGGTGAATTAATGCTGCAGTGTAGAAATGTGACTAAAGCATCTGTCAACTTATTGTGATGTAAATGTTCTGTAGTCATAAAGTTCATCTCAGTGTCCCTGCATCAGGACTTAATAATTCTACCACTGCTGGACATTTCCAATGCTCAACATTGTGGCTTTACGTAGTAATAACCTCAAGATTTTCATTTAATATTTAATTAATATTATATTTATATTTAATTTAATTTGTGTTGATTACTAAAAATGTAACTCTTTCTTTTTGTTTTCTGTATTATTTATATTTTACGTTTGTTTACATGTTCATCTGTGGCTTTAAGTGTTTCTAAACATTCATCATCATAATTAAAAACTAGAGTAGAAAGAACAATGAAAAGATAAATGTCAGTTAAGTCAATATCCCTCTGATTAATACTCATCCATTCACAGTTTATAATTATAATTATGACCGTAGGATGTTTGAGATTGTAACTTTAAGTCTGTTGTATTTAACCTGTTTCTAAATGTAGAACAGTTTCATTGGTTTTCTTCTGATATGACGGCGACGCTGTCCCAGCAGCTCTTCTTTCCTGGAGCCACTTGTGTAACAGGAATTAGTTTTGGGGTGGTTTTGAACAAACCTCGGTCTGCATCACAATCCTCTCCTCCCAGACTTTGTCCTCCTCCTTTCTCCACCTTCTGCTCCTCGCTCCTCCTCGACAGGTCTCCCACTTCTTCCTCCTTGTCATCAAACTGGAACCCAGCGCCTCCTTCCGGGCCTCCTCCTTCCTCCACAGGATTGGCCAGGCTCTCGGTGACATCAGAGTGGCCCAGCCTGTCCTGCGGCCCGTGGGCGGTGATGTCAGACAGAGAGAGGGGGGGAGGGGGGACGTAGGGAGGAGGGGGGCTCACCGATAGGTCGGTTTGATCTGCGCTGGGTTCCTCGCTGACTCCGATGTCCTGAGAGCAGAAGACAAGAGGGTCAGAACGAGATCATGTGATCGTTTAATACTACAAAGGGTTAATAAACGGTGGTGTTGTTGAGTCACGACGAGAGGTCAGAAGGTCTCTGCACATTAAGTAAAAGGTTAAAAACACGTTTATTATAGAACCCCTGTAGTATATTTATACATATATATATATATACGTATATATATATATATACATATATATACGTATATATATATATATATATAC